AACACCTCACATGCGTTGCCTATATAAACAAGACTTGAAGGAGAAATCATTTACGATTTTGTTGTGCACTACAAACGAGAAACTTCATCACCTTCAATCTATTGAATTTCATTTATGTAATACATCACTTGTGTGATACTGTTTTATTAGAAAATACATCTTGTACACGCTTTCAAATATTGTATTGTGTAATACCTTGAGAAAATTGGGTTGTGGTTTAAACTCAAGAAGACTTTAACGGTTGTCATCGTATCTGTGTAATCAAGTTTGATTAGTGGATTAAGACCTCCTTGAGAGAGGCGAAATCACTTTGGCAGGTGGACTAGAGTAGTTTGAGTTCAAATGAACCATGATAATCAACGTGTCTTTTAATTTAAGTTTTAAAAACCCCAATTCAAATCCCTCTTTATTGTGTTTTTCCATTCTTCACATGTCGCGTTGGTCTCAGAAAATTTGTACTGGAAGTGGTCTGTTTCGTGCGATCTTCGATCTTTTTCGTCCTGATTCGCTCCATTGACCACTTATTGACTGAAAACACAAAAGGAAGACAAAAACGCATAAAAGTGAACTAAAACTGTGCAAACACACATAAAAATGAAAATAAAACAACCAAGAAAAATGATGCATTGACATCTAATTGGATCTATAAGTTTATTTATAGATATATATGATGTGAATAATTAAGAGGGGTGTGTGAACCCGAAAACTACCTTCACCTCGAAGCCAAATATCTAACTAAATGTGAATAGAAGAGTCATCACCAATCTTTCAACGATGTCCTTCAAATCTATTTGAGGAGTTCTGATACTTCGCCAAATATAACGTAGATTATGACCTATAACTGAATCCAAGAAGTTCCCTTGAGTAACATATTTTATTTTGAATCCAAAAATTAATTACAATCACTCTATTCGTCTCAAGTTATAAGTCACTTTATAAAAAAATGTCTCAAATTATAAGTCACCATATAATTCCAACGCAACATTAATAATATTTTTCTAATACACCCTCTATTATTTATTACTATTTCTTCTTTCAATTCTTTAAATTTCTCTTTCATGTATGATAAATGAAGGACAATATTATAAAGTCATGCATAAGTTATCTTTCTCATACAAAATTAATTATATTTTTTAATTCATGTGAAATATTCAAAATGTCTTATAATTTAAAACAGAGTGAATAATAGTTATAAATTATCAATACATTTAATAATTTAAAAATAGTTTATACATTAATTAGAATAAAACTGATAAAAGTTAATTATATTGTATTAAAACACTAAAAAAAACTTATTTTGTAATAAATTTGACTAAAAAATATTTATTTTAAAATAGAAAAATATTTTTTTTTCCGTCCAACAATAAATGACTTATTTATAAGAAATAATCTCAAAATAAATGACACACTTTAATTTACGATACAAATAAATTCTTTTTAAATTGTACCGTTAATTGTTACTCCCTCCAATTTTATTTATAATAGATGAATTATTTTTTAATTTTATTAACTACTATAGTAAAAATATTATTTTTATTTATTTATTTATTTTTCTTTTTAATATGTCAATTGAATTATTTATGGTAGGATGGAGAGAATAATGTTTTCAAATTGACGTTTTAGCGAGTATTTATATTTTAAATTTCATAAAAGAATCTTTCATTTTGTACTAGCTGATCCAGAAACTCAGAGATTTAAGACCATCTCCAACGGTAGTTTCTTACATAGTATGTCAGCATTGAGTGTGAATTTAGTATGGAAAAGCGAGAAAATTATTGTCAGTTGGAGAACTGTTGTTTCATTAAGCAACGTTGCATTGTGGTATCTAATATAACATAAAATTGAGTATGAGTGAAATATTATAGATGAATATGATAAAATATTATTATATAAAGTAAAATAGTGAAATCCAATATAATTTTTTTAAAATTATATCATTGAAATAAAAAATTAAATGAATTACTTTAAACTGATGTATCTTAATAAATCTCACCCAAAAAAAATCCAAAAATTGATTGTATCATTAGAGATGGTCTAATAAATCTCTAATGAAAAAAGAGTAGAAAAGTTTCATTTTTGAAATTAAAGTCCTTAGGAATATGTGACAATGTACTCTGACTGAGTGCAAGTACCAAAGGAATTAACAATGGTATGGACATTGAACATTGGACACACTCAGCATGCCACGACATCATAAAAGTTCAACTCCTGCTAATAATTCTATCTATGACCGATTCTTCTTTTCTCCGTCAAAATTATTTTTTAATTTTTTAGCCGTGTTTTTTATTCTCCTTTTTAAAATGTCTATCGATTTAATAAATAAATTTTGATTTAAAATAATTATATTCTTCGAACATATTTATAAGTAATAATTTTTAAAAAAAAATTTTTTGAATAATTAATATATTTGAGATAAAATAATGACTATATATATCATTTATTTAATGAATTTAAAAAGTTTTTTGTTGTTTATAAATGTGTCTGAAAAGTGTATATTTTTACTTTTTAATATAATAATGATTATTATTTTCTCAATTGTATAATTTACTTTTTTAATCTGTACACTATATCCAATATATTAATAGGATTAATTTTATAAAAGTAATATCTTATGATAACATTATTATATTTTTTAATTTGTGTGCAAAAATCTTAAATCATAGTCATTTTATAACGGAGGAAGTAGTAAAAAATATTAGTATACGGTCACATAAAGGGCATGTTGGTCGTTAGAGAAAGAGTTATGGGTCGAATTATTGAGATGTATTTAGAGTTCGATTATTTGCCCGTAAACATAACTTTTGATAGAATATATATATATATATATATATATATATATATATATATATATATATATATATATATATATATATATATATATATATATATATATATATATATATATATATATATATATATATATATATATATATATATATATATATATATATATATATATATAAGTCCAAGGGGTGCTAACCCAAAATACACAGACAAGAGGATTAAAACACATTGACACCACCAAAGTCAATCAACCAAAAGAAAACCAAGCAACTCTAATACAAATGTTCGGATTGACACACCAATCCGACCAAATAAGATTGTCTCTTACCTTAAAGGAAAAAGTAAAATATTTCCAAACTAACAATTTAATCATCTCAAAGGTATCAAAATTGGCCAAGATACCTCTATTAAAGAGGATCGCATTACTACAACACCAAGTACTCCAACAAAAAGTCAATCCGAAAAGCCACCTAGTATTCACCAAAAAAAAAGACTTATAAGATACTTCTAAAATCTTAAGACGATTAAAGATATTACCCGAGATAGAAGAAGCATCAATACGAAGTCAATCACAAAGTTTGCTCCACCACCCCAAAGCCACGGTACAAGTCCCAAAAAGATGATTTGTATCCTCCTCCGCCATCCAACACAACGGGCAAGCCAAATTATGCGGACCGGACAAAATACCCCGCTTTAACAAAGCCAACCGAGTAGAAATCTTATTCAAAAGTAACCTCCAACCGAAAATTAACACCTTACTCCGAATATTAGTCTTCCATAAGATAACGCATTAGAAACATTAACATCCAAGCCACGACCTCGAGTCTCCTCCCATTATCATCTCATCAGTAGTCTTAACCGAGTATCCTAAAGGATTCTTCCACCAAACAAACATATCTAAAACTCCAAGAAAGGAAAAAGATGTGGCGCCCACCACACAATTCAGAAACGATGTCGCTGCTTGGACAAAACCCATATTCAAATTAACCCCCAATAATCGGTTCTTGGTCAAATTAACACGAAGACCGCAAACCACCTCAAAACCCCTAAGAATAGCCTTCACACTCCACAAATTATTCTACTATCATCACCAATCAACAAAATATCATCGGCAAATTGAAGAATCTCAAAATGCAAATTCTCATTAGCCTTAAAACAACGATTTTCCACCTTCAGAATTAAAGCGTGAAAGGAGGTCGTCACCGCTTTTGGAAGCGTAACAAACTCAAATAATTCATTAACAAACCCCAAAATCTCATCCTTCAAAAAAGGTCAACGCACCTTATAAAACCCCATATTAAACTTATTCGGACCTGAACTCTTCTCACTATCTGAATTCCAAATGATTTCCCTCACTTCATCTTTTGAGAAAGGAACCTCCAAACTAACAAAGTCAACATGGGAAAGTTGCGGAAACTCAACACAGTCCAAATTGGGCCAGAAAGACATAGACTCGGAGAACCTCGTCTCAAAATGAGTCCTAATCTCCTCTTTAATCAATAACACGTCCTCAATCCACCCCTCCTTCCGAATTTAACCCCACTAAAGTATACCTTCTAGTCCGTTGCTTAACGGCTTTGTGAAAAAAACGAGAATTGAGATCTCCTCCTTAAGCCAAAGTGATCTAGCCTCTTGTCTAAGAACACTCTCCTTAAAACAATAATACAACTATTAACGTAGAATTATTAAATTGGTCATGATAAGAGTTTAAACCTTGGACTTATCATGAGTATATGAGTTTTTAATGATTATCATCACTTCCTCTACAAATAAATAAAATACAGAAAAAATCGCTAAAACTATTTATACATTGGTAAAGTTCTAAATACTAACGAGATATTGTTGAGTCATCAGAAATCATAACACAAGAACTAACAATTTTCTTTTACACCCTCCCTTAAGTTGAGTCTAGAAGATGTCACTAAGATGAAGCTTGCCAAGTAACTTCTGAAAAGGTGCAGGGAATAAAGCTTTTGTAAACACATATGCAGGTTGTTAAGTATGTGAGCCAGTGCAATTCCTCTATAATCTGGCGTTATCTGGGATTATAAAATGATTTGCAAAAAAAAAAAACTGTTTACAATCTGTTAATGTTACACACATCAAAGTCGAAAATAATATACAAATAAACGTGATACGATACAACTGTACTAGATTAAACTCGAGTCTCTGCAACTTCCATTCACTTCATTATTTTACAACATACAAACCAAGAACTATAGAGGCTTTGCACCACCACCGTTTTCCGCTGCATTATGAACCGGAGTAGATGAACCGCTCCTTCTTGACCCGCTATGATGACCTGTTATGGTTCTTCCCATAAACTTTCCCGCCTTGGTAAGACTGCTAGTGAACGTTCCAAGACCACTCGTGACAACTCCAGCTCCCGCGCCAATGCCACTTCCAACGAGTCCAGCACCAGATCCCACCACCGACACTGCTCCGTCCAGTGCGTCCATTGTGCTGCCAATCACCCCCGCCGCTTTCATTTTCTTCCTTTCTTCTAATATAGTTTTTTCTGCTTCTAGTGCAGCCAGTTGCTCCTCTTTGTTAAACTGGTAATACATAACCTGAAATTCCATTCCAACCTCGTTTTTTTTATCAAGCAGAACGAGTTATAGTAACATTGTAACATCGCTGTTTAATATAACTAGATCATTGCACGTACCTTTACAGTCAAGGTTCCTCGATCCTTCTTATCTTTAACCTTGAGTGTATCGAGCGATGACAGCAATCCCAACTGAAACTCCTTTTCGGTTTGTACTTCCAGATCAATAAGAGGTAATTTCACAATTCCCAATCGCTTATCTTGTCCAATGTCTTCATCAAAAACCTGTTTCGGGAATCATGCACGCAGTTTATGTTTGTCATATTAAATTAATCAGAGTATATAAACGAGGAAGAAGAGAGCAGCAGCATAAAACCTCAAAAATCACTGACTGAGTCTCCTTGTCTTCTGCAATCAATTCAAATGTTTGATCCCAAACAGGATTCAAGTTGTTGTCAATGACCTTGGTTTTAACTTTAAATAAGGGTCGAATATACAAAACAACGTAAGGATCTGATTTTCCAATCATTTCCTTGTTTTTTAAATCGGTCGCTTTCACCACAGTCACTTCAAGTCTTCCTTGAGGTTTAAGCTCCAGCTCACTGCAAGAAAGAAAACAAAAGTGCTACTCAAATTGAAGTTTTGTTTTAGAAGGTTTCATCTGCGATCGGAAATATATATATATATAAAGGCATAAACTTTCATAAGATTCATATTTACCTAATATCGACAGGGATACCACCAAGTGGAACAACAATTCTATGGGGCCATTTGAGTGTATCATTAACAATCGCGTTCACGGTATCCTACAAAATGGTAAGTAAAAATAAAACTAGTTACAAATGTTGCTTAAAGTATAGGGAAAAGAGCTATGTAAAACGGACAGAACTCACCTCAATCATATCTGAAACTCCAGGAAGAGCAGTTAAGCTTCCACCAACAGCTTTCAGAGTATAATCAATTTTTGGCTCGGGCTGATTCAATTTGATAGAAATAGGTAAAGAGAGAGAATTAAAAGAAACTCTCATTGTATTATCATCTTAAACAGTAATACAAGAGGCTACTTTATATAGCCATGTGATACAAAGCAGAAAAGGTGTGAGGCAATAACAAGCTAACAGCACACCACTAACAAACCTGACAGCTCAGCAAAACAGAATAGAAAGATAAAATGAAGGGCATATTAGTAAACTACTCTATTAGTCCCCCTTAGAAGCTGATGGCAGACTTGTCAAAGCAGCCTTATCATACACACGCAACTTGGAACGAAGAGGAACAAACTTGGCAGCAGAGAGGGGCTTAGTGAGAATGTCAGCCCATTGATCTTGAGCTGGTACATGAACAACAGTCAGACTTTTGCTGAGTACTTTCTCTCGCAGAAAGAAAATATCAAGCTCCATATGCTTAGTCCTGTTGTGAAGAATAGGATTGTGAGCCAAAGTAACAGTGCTCAAGTTATCACACAAGATCTTAGGAACTTGAGAGGAATAATGGAGTTCCTTGAGCAAGGACTGAATCCAAATGAGTTCAGCAGCTAGCTGAGCCATACTGCGATATTCCGCTTCAGCACTGGACCTTGCAACAAGCTGTTGCTTCTTGGACCACCAGGAAACAACATTAGGCCCAAGATATATGCAGGCCCCTGAAGTAGATCTCCGGTCATCAGGGTCTGATGCCCAGTCTGCATCACAGAACCCTAGCAACTGCATTGGTTGCTGAATAGGAGCAGGCTGAAGGAGAAGACCATGGTGCAGAGTACCACTTAGGTACCTTAAGATTCTTTTAACAGCCTTCCAATGATCCTCTAAAGGATTGGACAAAAACTGACAGACTTTGTTGACTGAAAAAGAGATCTCTGGCCTAGTTAAGGTAGCATATTGAAGGGCACCAACCACAGACCGAAACTGAGTAGGGTCATCAACCGCAGCAGACCCAACCTTGGACAATTTGCTGCTAGAGACCATGGGAGTAGGCATGCCATTGGCATTCAACATATTAAGCCTTGAAAGCAAATCTGTGATGTACTTAGTCTGAGATAAGAGAAGAGAACCATTAGGGAGATGAGTCACTTGAATCCCTAGGAAATAATCAAGTTGTCCCAGCTGTTTGAGAGAGAAAGAATTATTGAGATGCTTGATCAAGGAAGCTATAAAAGGAGCAGAACTACCCGTGATGATTATATCATCAACATAGACCAGAATTAGAATCTGAAGTTTACCTTGATGCAACAAAAACAAGCTAGGATCACATCTACTAGCCTTAAACCCGAGTTGAACCAAGGCACACTTTAGCTTATCAAACCAGGCCCTAGGAGCCTGTTTTAAACCATAAATAGCCTTATTTAACTTGCAAACAAGAGTTCTGTCAGCAACTTCAAAGCCAGGGGGCTGTTGCATAAGGACTTCTTCTTCAAGAGTGCCATTGAGGAAGGCATTGTTAACATCAATCTGCTGCAATGGCCACCTGTTTGTAGCAGCAATAGAAAGAACAATTCTCACAGTAACAGGTTTAATGACAGGAGAAAAAGTCTCTTGAAAATCATCACCAGCCTTTTGATGGAACCCTTTAGCCACTAATCTGGCTTTATACCTGTTTATGGAACCATCAGGATTCTCCTTAGTCCTGAACACCCACTTACATCCAATAGGCTTCCTTCCAGCAGGAGCTTTCACCAAAGTCCAGGTCTGATTTCTCAGCAGTGCCTGATGTTCTTCCTTCATGGCCTGAAACCAGTTAGGAGCAGCCAAGGCTTGCTCAACAGATGTAGGTTCAAGGTGGGCTATTAATAGAGTAGGGTGAAGTCTAGGAAGAGTGATTCCTCTTTTGGCTCTAGTTTGCATAGGGTGGATGTTTTGAGGGTGAATGGAAGGTAAAGCTGTGGCAGCAGGGTGGGAAATAGGACTAGGGCCAGGGGAGGGACCAACTAAAGGAGAGGAATATGAAGAGGAGGGAGAAAGAGTGCTAGCTTCAGCTGGATCAGAGAGAATGAGGGCAGGAGAGGAAGAAGGAGAAGAGGTAATGGGAATGGCAGTGAGAGGTTGAGGGATAGGTTGCTGACCAGAAGAATAAGAGTTGTTAGAGGGAGCAGCAGAGGAAGAGGAAGAAGAGATTGGAGAAAAATTAGAAATAGTGGGACTGCTAAGTTGAGGAAAAGCAGAATTTGAGGAAGAAGAAGGCATAGAAGACAGATTAGAAGTAGAGGGAGCAGAGGAAACAGGAGGAAAACTGAGAGAGGGAGAGGAAGAGGATGGAGTGTTAGGAAGAGAGACAGATTTTGAAGAAGAAACCAAGGTGGAATAAGGAAAATTTGCTTCATTAAAAACAACATCCTTGGAAATAAAAATGCGACCATCTGAAGCAAGGCATTTATAGCCTTTGTGAGAGGTAGAGTATCCAAGGAAAATACACAGTTGAGATCTAAAATCAAGTTTATGAGAATTATAGGGACGGAGAAAAGGATAACATGCACAGCCAAAGACTTTAAGGATAGTATAGTCAGGGTTTTTGTGAAGTAATTTAAAATAAGGTGAGACATTGTCAAGTATAGGTGTAGGAAGTCTGTTAATGAGATATGCAGCTGTGACAAAGGCATGATCCCAGAATTTTAAGGGAAGGGTGGACTGAGCAAGGAGTGTGAGACCAGTCTCAACAATGTGCCTGTGCTTACGTTCAACAAGGCCATTTTGGTGATGTGTATGGGGACAAGTGAATCTGTGAACAATCCCTAAATCTGTGAGATATTTGGTAAGAGGCCTAAACTCACCTCCCCCATCAGTTTGGACACATTTAATGGGACAATTGAACTGAAGTTCAACCATTTTCTTAAACTGAAGAAATTGAACCATGGTGTCAGACTTAAGTTTGAGAGGAAAAACCCAAACAAACCTAGAGAAGGCATCAATACAGGTTAGGAAATAGGTATAACCACTGGAAGATTGCATAGGGGCAGGACCCCAAAGATCACATACAACCAGCTCAAAGGGATGAGAGTAAACTGTGGTAGATAAAGAAGAAGGAAGTCTATGAGACTTGCCAATGCAGCAAGCGTGACATAACTCAGCAGGGGGTTTAGATGGAAAGGATTGATTACACAGTTTGAAGATTTCAGTGAGGGTATGATGATTGGGGTGTCCCAGCCTAGTATGCCAAAGCACATATTTATTGGATGCAATAGAATTTGCAGCATTAAAGTGTGAGGAAGGTAAAACAGTACTGACAGAGTTTAGAGAAGAATTGAAAAAGGTACTTGTAACATTATAATTGCAAGATTCATTACAAGAAGACAAAGGATTTATAGTATGATTTGCAACAGATTCAGTACACTGAGATATAGAATCTATAACATCCGTCCTATAGGAAGTATTACAATTGTATGCTGCAGGATAACTATGACTAGAACTATAAGAGGAAGAAGATTTGGACAACGGAGGAGCAGCTGGATTGGAGAATTTATAGAGGCCATCAGCACCAACAAGACCACTGAGTAAGACTTCAGAAGTAGCCTGAGATTTGACAACACAAAACTTAGGATGAAATTCAAAAAATACAGAATTATCTTGAGCAAATTTGCTCACACTCATAAGGTTTTTGGTGATGTGAGGGACATGTAAGAGATTGTTAAGAGTGAGAGATAGATGAGGTTTGTGAGGTAAGGGAAAAGACATAGAACCTACAGAGTTGATGGACAAACCTTGGCCGTTACCTATGAAAACTTGTTCAGTTCCAGGCACGGAGGCAGAGTCAGACACATTAGAGGCATCAGGAGTAACATGATGAGAAGCTCCTGAGTCAGGATACCACCACTGGTTTGCACTGTTAGCTTCAGTACCTGCATAAAAGGCTTGTGGTGCAGAAGATCTGGGAGGCGCAGCTCTGGGAGAAGCATAAGCAAGCTGCACAGGATAAACAGCACGAGGAGCCACGTGAAAAGGATTGAAGGGAGCTCGATGATGTGGATAACTAGCACCACTTGAATTGGCATAACGATAGTAGCATACTGAAGCATCATGACCAGGTTTGTGACAAATCTGACACGGTGATTTCCCAAAACGACCTCCTCCACGACCAAAACGACCACCACCGCGACCAGAACGACCACCACGTGCACCATAGGAATGATTTTCAGCATTAGCGGTGACGTGACTCGTTCCTTGAGGAAACGCCTCGGAGATGACTTGATCAGAAGCGACTGGAGTGGGAGAAGGTGTTGCTTGAGTGAGATTGATCGTCGCCGTCGCCGGTTCTGTAATCGCAGCTTTGCGATGCTTCTCCAATCGCGACTCATGAGCAAGCAAGGAAGACTCCAACTCTTCCAAGGAGCTAACGTCATCTTTGCTGTTAACGGCGGCGACAATAGAATCATAATCCTCAGGTAACGAATCAAGAACAATCTCAATTAGGTTACGAAGAGGAACGGGATCACCGATGGAGGTTAGCGACTCACTGATGTCACGTGAACGCGTCATAAGCTCAGTAATCGTTAGTGAACCCTTCGTAAGACGCCGGAGTTCTGAACGAAGTTGACGAGCCTTGGTGGAGAGAAGAACATCAAAGTACCGATGAACTTCTGTCCACACCTGCCACGCATGCTTGCAGTCAACGAGCTTAGGAAGGAGAGCATCGGAGATGGTAGAGAGAAGCCAGGTGCAAATGAGAGCATCCTGCTGTTCCCACTCAAGAAACGCACTGTGAGATGCAGGATCTGAGGGAGACGGTGGCGGAATCACCGGAACAGTGACAAAGCGTTGAAGACGATGACCACGGACGACGCCATCAATCTGCTGCTTCCACTGTTTGAAATTCTTGTCGTCAAGCTTAACAGAAATTAGGTGAGAAAGTTTCACCTGAGAGGAAGGGAATAAAGGTTCCATGGATCGGGAAAAAAAATTAAGCTCTGTATACCATGATAGAAATAGGTAAAGAGAGAGAATTAAAAGAAACTCTCATTGTATTATCATCTTAAACAGTAATACAAGAGGCTACTTTATATAGCCATGTGATACAAAGCAGAAAAGGTGTGAGGCAATAACAAGCTAACAGCACACCACTAACAAACCTGACAGCTCAGCAAAACAGAATAGAAAGATAAAATGAAGGGCATATTAGTAAACTACTCTATTACAATTTTAATGGAAAAATCAGTGATTCTAAAAGTGAGAAGGGCAGTTGGACGATTACGTACTTTCATGCGTGCACATACAAACAAATATTATTCTTTCTTTCCACGTCCCCCAACAATTACCTCGGCCAGTAGAGCAACAACAACAGCAGAAATGCAAGGGATCTCTTCAGCAAGTTGGAATATAACACGGATAATTGTGAAAACTTTTAGATCCTTCAACTGAACCAAAGAAAAAATGAAATGAAAATCAAATTTTGACAACATATAAAATGGACAACAGAAAAATACTCTGCCAAGCATTATACCTGAATTGGGATTGATGCAACAAGGGCAGCTTCAACCGCCAAAATGATACTTGGATCACCACCCCAACGGAAATCTATGTCCATTATGATTTGACCTTTGGTAAGACTCTGCACACGAATACCTGTACGGATGATGAAATTATGCATGTATAAGTTGTTAACATATAAAAAGGTTTAGGACGTCATTTGACTAAATCGTGAGAATTAAGAATGTTGGTGAAATTACCTTCAACTTTTGGAGCTACGTTTCCAAGTGACAGCTTACTGAACTTCAATGAAGTAATTCCAGGAGGTCTGTACTCTTCTAGTAGAGGTTCAACAGACTCTCGGATAACCAACGTTGCGGCCTAATGGTGAACAAAATCCATCATAACCAAGTCATCTATTTAAACAAACCATCTATAGCGATTATGATTCTTTAAGCCACAAAACAGTGATATTTTAAGTAAACCATTACACTCATCATACTGATGATAGATAGAAAGATATTCTTGAAAGATGAACGATTAATTACTTTGACGATAGTATTAGAAAATGCATATTTCTCTATTTCAATTGCTAGAGAACTAATCAGATAAACATGATAGATGCAATACTCACTTCTGCCACAAATGGCCAGAGTTTGCTCAGGAGCTTGTTTAGCCATTTCACCTGAAAAAAGCGGACGCAACAAAGAGTGAAGAACAGAATTACACAACTAATAGGTGCGCTACATAAAATAAATAGAATAAAATTCTCACCTGCTCATATACAGGGAAAGATATCCATTCGGGAAGATTTTCACCGCAAATTTTCTTCAGATCATCTCTGTTGAGGGATCCAAGGAGTTTGATGTCAACAGCCTGCAAAGTAAAAGAATGCCAAATGTTTAAACAAGAAAAAAAATCTTAACCGAAAAATTAAAACAGGATGTTTATTTTAATAGAAAAATAATGATCATCTAAGAAGACAAATCAATTTGTTATCCCAATTAAGGCATGTTTGGTTGACTTATTTGAGTTTTATCTATTGGCACAAACAGTTGTAAGACTGTTCGGGAGAACGTATGCAAACATGTATATTACGCTTTCGTATGAAATTGAGTTGAACATAATGGTAATTTTGAAAGCGACTAGCAAGCTATATTTTCAAGTTTCTCTTCTTCCGCTTCGATTCTTAAATTCTTAAATCCGGTTCATAGATGTCTAACTCTGTTTGGAGTTGTGGACCAGCAGGAAAAGGGGGATGAAAAATTGTTCCTATCGCTAGATATTAAGGGTGTTCATATCCAATCCAATATAAACCGCAACAACCCCAGAAAGCCAAAAATCAAACACACCAAAAAAAACTGTTTTTTATGGATCAATTGGAGTGGTTGTTAGTTCCTTTGATGCAATTGATCATGGCTCATGTCCATAACGTATTGTTTACTATGCTTTACCTTACTCCTTTTTATAGTCATAAAAAAATTTCCTAAAAAGTATAAAACAAAATATTTCAGACAATACCCGAAACCAAAAAACCAATCCAAACCAAACTAGATAGGATCAAATTTGATTTGAAAACCGAACTGATTGGATGATCAAATAACAAAACCAAATGGATCAGACCGAATGATTTTCCCCCTCAAACCAATTCAATCCACAAACACCCCTACTGCACTTCAACTCCAAGATCTCAAATACAACATCAGTTGTACATGGCAGTGGAGAATTGCATTTTACTACAACAATAACATAGTTCAAAATCAAGAGGTTTTGCTTATATGGGTTTTACCGCAGCACAGCAACTAATCGACGAACAATCTCCTAAAGTCCTGTATCTAAAACCAATTGCTTGACAAAAGCATATGCAATTCTCTTCTCCCACAACCTTGTTTTGATCCACCATATTTCCATCATAATGTTCAACTAAAATCCACTAGTAGATTATTACCAATTCCATGAACCCAAAACACACTAATTACATTTCATTTCATCAACTACTACAACCTCAGAAAAATCCACACTAAATTCCAAAAAACCAAAGTCAACAAAACCATAATCCATACCTTTGCAATCCTCTTAGCACTTCTGTATCTCATCATACGAGCCCATCCAGCCATCAATGCTATGCCAAACACCATCCCCATGAAAATCCCAGAAATCAAACCCATTTTTCTATATTCCAAAAACCACCTTTTCCCTATCAAAACAAAACCAAAACACCCATATGAAAAAATAACTAAAAAACACAACTTTAACACTCAAATTGCAAAATAAAGTCAAAGGGAAACCAAAAAACGAAACTTTCCATGAAAATTGGTGGAAAAAACTCAAAGGGTATATTTTACCTTAGAAGATGAACTTTGGAATGAGATTCTTCAAAAAGAGCTATGAGTTGTTGTGGGACTGTAAAAATGCAAACTTTATTAAATTTATAGTCTTCACGAGATTGAATTGAAAAGAAAAAGCATTAATGCTTTTGTAGGGACTCCACAACTTCAATTCAACACTGTTTGCATTCTCAGATTGTAATCTTCCGCGGATTTAGAAAAAACAATAATTATCTGTAAAATTGAAACACAAAACTATATAAATGGAAAAGAAAAAAAAAAGTTTTATTAGGAATGTTTATTGTTCTATTTATAGTTTCATAAATATAAAATATTCATTTAAATATTATGCATGTATTTTAGATTGTAATATTGGTAAAGTATACTCCTTTGAGTGTTAAAATAATAAAGCAAATTACAAATTACAAATTCAAAAGTTACTTAAAATAATTTTTAAAAACTCTTTGTTTGATATGTAGTACTCCCTCGGTCTCATTTATAAGAAAAAATTAACTTTTTATATACATTGAATAAGTAATGTATTTGGACAATATATTGTCCAAATACATTACTTATTTAATATATCTAAAAATTAATTTTTTCTTATAAATAAGACCGGAGGAAGTACTAGATATGATTATGATAGTGAAAAAATAGAGAAAATTAGAAGACTTGAATAATGAGTGTTTGAACCGTTTGGCATCGGAGACATCGGACCAAAAAGAGGAGTTTGTCTCCTTCTGACTGAGTTAACAATGACCTATCAATTATTATTAATATCTAACCTAATTTATGGGCCAAACTAACCAACTCATGTGCCCCTTCACTTTTCACCAGGGTAATGCGAAACATTTGGAAGATAGTATTAAATTTTGTCTTTACTTTTCTTAATTTTACATTTATTAATTATTTTATTCGTCAAATGGAAAATGTTTCATTCAAATCATGTGTGATTTTTAAAAAAATAATTAATAAAAAAGCATTTTAAGAAAATAGTACCTTATTTCTAATATCAACACGTTGTGGAAAATTTTAAGAGTTGTTTAATAGTAAATATTAGTGAGACACGATAGGAATGACTCAATTTGCAAATAATAAAATATAGGGTTAATATCTATTTTCACGCCTGACATATGAGGTGTATTTGAAAAAATCATATTTTATTAATTGAGTGTTAATTCAAAGTTAAAAAAATTTTGTCCTTCAGCAGGAATCAAACCATGGACATACTGTCTGCAGTGAACGCTTCTTACCACTAGACTAATGCATTTTCTTTGTTATATATATGCATCAATAAATATTCATATCATTAACATATTAATTACAATTATCAATAAATTTTCTTAACTAGTTGGTTTAAATAATTTTTAAAAAAATGTTTTACATATTTTATCTTTTTATTGTAACTTTTTTTAAATTTTAAATTTTCAAAAATCACTTAAATTTAAAAAAATCACTTAAATTTTCAAAAATCACTTAAATTTAAAAAAATCACTTAAATTTAAAAAAATAAGTTAAATTTAAAGAAATCACTTAAATTTTCAAAAATCACTTAAATTTAAAAAAATCACTTAAATTTTCAAAAATCACTTAAATTTAAATCACTTAAATTTAAAATCACTTAAATTTTTAAAAATCACTTAAATTTTTAAAAATCACTTAAATTTAAAAAAATCACTTAAATTTAAAAAAATAAGTTAAATTTAAAAAAATCACTTAAATTTTCAAAAATCACTTAAATTTAAAAAAATCACTTAAATTTTCAAAAATCACTTAAATTTAAATCACTTAAGTGATTTTTAAGTGATTTTTAAAAATCACTTAGTTTTGAAAATCACTTAGTTTTGAAAATTTAAGTGATTTTTGAAAATTTAAGTGATTTTAAATTTAAGTGATTTAAATTTAAGTGATTTTTGAAAATTTAAGTGATTTTTTTGAAAATCACTTAGTTTTGAAAATCACTTAGTTTTGAAAATTTAAGTGATTTTTGAAAATTTAAGTGATTTTTGAAAATTTAAGTGATTTTAAATTTAAGTGATTTAAACTTAAGTGATTTTTGAAAATTTAAGTGATTTTTTTAAATTTAAGTGATTTTTGAAAATTTAAGTGATTTTTTTAAATTTAACTTATATTTTTAAATTTAAGTGATTTTTGAAAATTTAAGTGACTTTTGAAAATTTAAGTGATTTTAAATTTAAGTGATTTAAATTTAAGTGATTTTTGAAAATTTAAGTGATTTTTTTAAATTTAAGTGATTTTTGAAAATTTAAGTGATTTTTTTAAATTTAACTTATTTTTTTAAATTTAAGTGATTTTTTAAAATTTAAGTGATTTTTTTAAATTTAAGTGATTTTTGAAAATTTAAAATTTAAAAAAAGTTACAGTAAAAAGATAAAATATGTAAAACATTTTTTTAAAAATTATTTAAACCAACTAGTTAAGAAAATTTATTGATAATTGTAATTAATATGTTAATGATATGAATATTTATTGATGCATATATGTAACAAAGAAAATGCATTGGTCTAGTGGTAAGAAGCGTTCACTGCAAATAGTTTGATTCCTGCTGAAGGACAAAAAAAATTTAACTTTGAATTAACACTCAATTAATAAAATATTAATATAAATGCCATATGGAATTAAAAATTAAAAATTAATTAAAAATGACAACTAATCAAGTCATGTCATTAAAATAATAATAAAAATATAACAAAAATATAAGTCACGTCAGTCTTTTAGGTGATGTGGCATCCTCAAGGTAAAAACTGAAACTTTTAAAATTTGTCAAGGTAACAATTGGAACTTTTTTTTTTGGCAGGGGGTTTTTTCAAATACACCCCATATGTCAGGGGTGAAAATAGGTATTAACCCTAAAATATATATTAGAATCGATTTCCACTATTATAAATTTTAATTGGCTTGGCGTCAAGAGAAAAGAACCAATGATCTCCATGCTCCATTAGTAGAAAGATCAGGGCAAAGTTATCGATTGGAGAAGCTTTGTTGGAGCATGGTGAAGGTCAGCATGTCTATGACATTTATCACACATTTTAATAAAGTGATGCTATCTTTTATTAGGGTATACCAATAATACCCCACATTTAACAGTTTGCGCGCAAGAGCTTTTGTGTCTATGTGACTACTGTAGGCGCCCTTATGTACCTCCGCAAGAACCAGGGTGGTTTCATACTCGCCTAAACATCGTAACACAGGAAATGCTCTCCTTATTTTATATAGTTTTCCCGATAGTAGGGTGTACTTGGAAGCTTATTTCCAGGTCCTTATTAAATCTCCCTCGTCCAATGGTAGTTCGTCTGTCTGCATATATTGCAGTATGAGCGACATCCAGCTAGATTTAGGGATGACTTCCAGAGAGTATACTTGGTCCCTCTTTATGCTGGGGGCGAGGGTCTATTGGATAATTGTTTTATTTAACCCCTGGTGTTTTTGATGTAGATAACATGGACAAAACACATGCCTTGAAGTTTTGTTCATGGAGGACATGCTCTATCTTAAAGAAAGAGAAACGAGAAGATAAATTTTGTACCTTTTGCATATACTTTATCAACTAAGGCTCATTGGCTTGGTATTTTCCAGAGACTTGGTTGACGACCAATTAAGAACCAGTTTTGGCCTTCAACCTGGTGGCTCCCATTTCTAAGGCGAGGATTATTTCGGCGATGAGAGCCTTATACTCCGCTTGGTTATTGTAGGTAGTGAACTTGAATTCTAAAGCTTTCTCGATTAGTCTGTTGTTATGTACTTTTAGGACTATTCCAGCGCCACTCTCTTTTTTGTTGGAGGGTGTCATCTAAAGATAGCGCACTTTGATAGGGATGTCCACCTCCCCATGCACCATTCTTTTGGAACCATCAAAATCCCTCACCACAATGTTACTAGGTTTCAGAGTCAATCCTTCACAATCCAATCTGTCAAGGGCCTTCTTGGGCAGAACATTCAGCGATGAACTTGTATCCACTAAAACATGGGCCAAAGTAGTGCCCATGCACTCGATAGAGACATGCAGAGCATCATTGTGTTTCCTCCCCTTGGGAGTTAGGTCTGCATCAGAGAATCACAGGCCATTGTCAGCTGTCAAACTAGCCACACAATTCTTGAATTGATTAACGGAGGTCTCCTGAGGCACATGGGCAGACTTCAGAAATTTTACCAAAGCCTTAGCATGGACTTTATAGCACAATAACAGGGCCAGCATTGAGATCTTGGAAGGAGTCTGCCCCAGTTGTTCAACCACATTGTAGTCACTCTTCTTGATTATTTTCAATATCTCTTCCATCTCCTTTTTAGAAGCCTCAGGGATGGCTTCTATATGCGCCTTCATCCAGACAGGCTCAACCAATACCTCTTTGCCCCGAGTCTCAGCCGACTCGGTAGTGGGGATAACAGTAGGACTAACGGTAGGAGTAGCCATGGGAATACTGACAGGAGCTGCAGCAGGAATAATCATCGGAGTAGTAATAGGAGGACTAGCAGGAGCAGAAGCAGCGGCAGGGATGATCACGGGAGTAGCAACAGTTTTAGGAGAGATATCGGGAGAGAAAACTCTTTCACTTCTTGTTATCTTACTGGTCCCAATGATATTAGCGACGTCAGGATCAGTATCTTCAGCAACTTTACCTTTGATAGCCAATAGGTCTTGCTTGACGCCATGGTAATAGACGTCAGCCCCATAATTCAAGGGAACAACTTTATCCAAGGAATATGGTATTGGCCCCGACATGGTGATGATCAGGGGAGCAAACTTCGGAACAGATGTAATCTTGGCGGGTCTTTTGGTGGAGACCCTGGGAGGATTGTCGGAAATGGTGATTATTGAAACA